TCACATGGAGTAATCTCCCGACAACAAAGCCGTACACGCGAGGCTGTAGCAAAGGCCTAGACATTATGCCGGTAACCATGCGCTCATCAAACACCAGAAGCCGATTTTGATGGCGATTCCGATGGCGAAAGACGGGTAATCTCCCTAGTGATGAAGGGGTCTCGTAGGGCGAGGCTCGTGGCGGTGAGGCAGATTTGGCTGTTCCTTCGTGCCTCAACAGTCGTCGTACAAAAAGCGATGCACGACTGCAACCCCATTCTGCGCATTCAATGCCTATGAGTTTCACAAAGCTGCGAAGAGTTTCACATGTCAAAAGGGGAGCAGAACAAATATGACGGGTGAAGGGCACAATCTCGATAAATGACGGTTGTTAAGCGGAAGCGGGCTCGGGGGAGCCTACATGCAGAACGCAAGGCCGTCGCAGGTCGTGCACAACCAACGCTCGGCCGCTGCGGGATCGGGAAATGAAGACAGCGTGGAGCGGGTTTGTTCTGGACCAGTTTGAGCTCCACAGCATCGGAAAGGGGGAGGATTGTGTTTTTGCGGGTCCTGGGCGACCAGAGGACGAGAGTGGCTATGCAGCGAAAAAAGATCGCTGAGCTGTTGTGCTTCGGGGAACGTAGCACGATACTGCAGCGTGGAGATACGGGCGTTCGCGTGTACATAGTATGGTTCAGGGGCCCAGGGCGCTTCTGAGCGGTCGTATGGCCTGGAGCTCACAACGGGAGCCCTGGTCGACAATCTGTTGTTGAAGAAGAACCGACGAATGACGGAAGTTCACGAAAGGGTTCCTGCAGTAGCGACGCCCATTGCGGCTAGCGGGGCCGCACGGGCGCGATCCAAAATAAACGGTGCGGCCTAGCTGCCTCCTGAAGCTGCAGGCCAGTAGGGGTTTCGGGTGCAGCTGACGGGTGGATGTGCAGCTGGGAAAATACGACGATAGCTCTATCGATTGCGTGCAGAGAGACACGATAGCAGTGAAGACGTCGAGACGCAGCTGGCCGTGGGCGAGGGCGTGAATGCAATCAGCGGGCCGGCTCAAGGTCAAACGTGTGGCTGCGCCTAGGGACGAACGCGGGCCCTTCACTCTCTGCTTCGGCGTAACAGGCCTGACCCGTGCAAGGCTTGAGACAGCCGCCCAATCAGGAGGCCTGTCAGCCAGAACCGGAGATCAGGCTCCTGTGCGGCGCCTCATCTACCCTTCGCGCCCATCCGTCTTCTTTCCTTCAACTCACCTCTCCGTGGGCCTGTCGCTCTTTTTGCAACCACCACCAGCACCCTTCGCAGCTCTATCGTATCTTACCCCAGTCATTCTTTTTTGGGCCGAAGTTTGTTTGCTTGTGTTGCTGTCACCTTGGCTATTGCCGTCCGCTCACTCCTCGACTACCCCGGAACGAGTTTCGCATATACTATTCTGCCAGCTAGCTGTCACGACTGAGTTACGACTTCACGTTGTTAATACCTGCATCGTAGCGTCACGTCGACAATACCAAGGACGAGCTTCCCCGGATCCATTACTAGCTCTATCGATTGCGACCTCACATGCGACATCGGTCTTAGAGCCATGCCGCACTCACATCACCAACATATGCACCATGTGCACCGCGACATCCACGTTGGCTCTCCCAGCAGTGCAAGCCAGACGATCCAACTAGCTGAACGAGCCTCACGTGTACTGGTGGCCCGCGCCAGCGCAACATGTACCAACGACAGCGATCCTGGCTGCACCAAGCCAACCCAAGTACCAACCATTGCTATTGCACTGGCTATCATGTGAGTTGGCTGTCTGTTCAGCTTTGAATGCGCTAACGGCATGTAGTGTACCTGTCGTCGGTGTAACGATCGTGCTATTCTTTTTACATCGCAGGAACAAGAGGAAGCTCGCAGAGGAAGACTCCAAAGACAAGTACAAGTCCCACGACTGGGGCATGGAGGGTGTCGCCAAGGCCGGAAAGAAGGGAGGTCCTGAGATGAGCGTGTCAGAGAAGGAAATCCCTGGAGGCCACGACCGAGGTCTCTCGATCGAGACTGGAAGCCCGTACATTCTGCCCGTCGGCCTGCATGGCTCTCGGGAGTCGTTCCACTCGTTATCGCGTTCGCAGCACGATCCTCACGACCCCTACGGCCCCGTAGCCTATCTGAAGGACGACCAGAGCATCCGCAGCGCAAGTCGCGGCCCCTATGGAAACGACGCCAGATCTATGTACACCACTTCAAGCGCAGGAACAAGGAAGGAAGGTCTTCAGGCTGGCCTTCTTCAGAATGCACAGAGGATGTCGACCTCGCACCCCATTCGCGGCGAGTCTCTGTCCCCTGACAGTTCGCGATCCCCAGACAGCAAGTTCCCTGAGGCGGGTATTCCTCTCAGTCCTTTAAACCCACGGTTTGAAGAAAGGTCGTCTCCCATCTCGCCTCCGTCAGCCACCTCGCCTTCAGATGAGCCCACCACCCAATACGCCGCCTTCAAGCCCACCGATGTTCCCACCATCTCCATTCCTGAGCCTGGTGTCACCGAGAAGCAAGTCAGCAAGTCACCCGTCCAGACCACCAACGACATCCCCACATTGCCACGCGTTAAGTCCCAAGCTGTTGTGTTAGAGAACACCAACACGCACAGCATCATCAGCACTTCGAGCTACGGCGATGGTTTCCAGATCACACCGCCGTCTCCCAAGGAAAGCGAGGGACCCAAGATTGTTGCACCTAAGCCTCGCTACTCGACTGGTCCCCAGAACGTTGGTCTTGGAGTCGACGATTTCGCCCCCAGCTCTAACCGTCTGTCCATGAGCCTCCGTCCCATGCCTTCCGATGACCCTCAGGAGAACCCCGAGGAGCGCGCCAACCGTATCCGATCTTTCTACAAGGAATACTTTGACGACTCGAAGCCTGAGCCTGCTGGCGGCCACCAATACACCGATTACGTTGAAGACTACGGCTCGGAGTACCAAGACGGCACTGTCTTCGACCCTCGCACCGGTGCCTTCGTTGTCGCTCAGCCGAACGCTCCGTTCGCTGAGCCCATCACTCGTCGTGCCATGACTCCTCCCCCGCGTGCTCCTCCCCGGTTCCGAAGCAACACTGCCACTGGTCCTCGTGGCCCGCACATGTCAAACGGCTCCATGGCTTCCTCACAATATCCACCTCCGCGTGGCATGTCTTCAATGAGCGGACGCTTGCCTCCGCCAATGAAGAAGCCGCTGCCTCCTCCATCCGCTTTGTCCTCTCTCCCAACACCCGCTAAGCTTACCGAGAGCTCCATGGTTTTCGACGCCGCCGACTTTGCACCGCCAGTCTCGTTCCGCGAGAGGCAAAACGGCGTACGACCTGACAGCCCTCTTGGAACTCCCAGGCCATACAGCCCGGCCGTACGACCACACACACCCCTCGTCGGATCCTACGACGAACTGCCAGCGCTACCCAGTCCCTACTTGATGCGCAAGTCGGGTACCTTCACTGCGCTCGATTTCGCACCACCTGCTCGTATACGTGACCCTGCCGGTGGCGGTGCCTCAGATGCTGGCTCAATCCGATCAAATCACTCTGGCATCTCGGCAGTTGGCCGATTTGCTGTTCGCAGCGGAGCCAACCGTGTCAGCAGGATACCAAGGGACGTTCTGGGTACCAAGGATGACTTCATGGTGCAATTAAAACCCAGGATGAACATGGTAGAGGGCGCCTAAACTAGTCGCGACTTCCTCAGCACACATCTTTGACGACAGACATCCTGCTCGCTGGCTGAGCTTTCCGCACACTCGACCGAACATTAAAAGCTCATTATGTCAACTTGTTCTCTATACACTGCTTTTTAGCGGCCTTGATGATTTCCTTGGTATCGTGGCATAGACACAGCGCGCGTTGGCTACTCTCCATCTTCACATCACAGCAACAACCTGTACAGACGGTCCGTCTAGTACACTTTCCTATTTTTCTCCATCGCGGTTGTGCAACGAATGACCGGCAGATTACTCGTTTCTAGGGCGGTTTAGCGATGGGCTGGCGTTTACCAATGTCTAATTTTTATTCTTCTGCGTTGCTGCGACATGGCGAAGTTGAGATGTGGAGGGCAGCTTGGTGGTTTGGAGACCGTGGAGACTTGAGTGATTGTGGAACATCTAGCAGAGCACATAGAGGAATGGAAAGAAAAAACATTACTTCAAGCGCATCGTCCTGGCCACGCGTGATGTTGTGCATCAGACGTAACTAGTGATGCTAGCCGCCCGAACACGAGTTTGTCTAGTAAGGAGCCTCAACGTCGAGCCATGCAATAGTGTGGATTCGCGATGCCCCCTCTGCTGTCTGGCCGCGCAGATCCGAAGCCTAGCGCAATTTCGCATCCTTCCGCATCCGCCTGCGCCATCATCGAGAGAATTATCCACGTATGTAGATCATCGACGCCGCTCCTCTATTACCCGCGAAAATCTCACTCTTACATACATTGTCCTCCATTTTATCCACACCACAGTAGGGCAAGCACAGCCACACAGTAGCCAACTCCACCCCCAACCATCACCAGTAAACAGTGCCCAGCGCGACGTCATGACCAGCCACGCACGCGCGTACCGGCCAGACCTTGCTCGTAGCAAACGTGCGCCACGCCGGTGCTTCAGTCGCGCGCAATGATTTGCCCTCTGGTGTCTTAGGCGCGTGGCCTAGTGCCGATGAGTGTCGTTGGTGAGAAGGGCGCCGCGTCGCCAGCGCCTTCTTGCGGTGTCTAGTTTTGCTGTTAGGGGTCCCGTACGTCATAGCTCGCGATCTTCGACCAGGCTCCATAAAATACACGACTGCTGCTGCTGCACGCGCGTAGGAGATTGCGTTGCCCCGGATTCAAGGCATTCTTGGCCTGGACATTCAATCGACGAAACGTTTCGGATCTGCGCTCTCTACGTCGTTCGTCTGAGGCCCTGTCATTGCTTGTTCACTTTCTTCTCTCACAATCCTCCGCTGCAGCACGCCTTGCTTCTTCTCCCTCTCAACGCCTGGAAATCCCCGAGTCGTCCATCATGGGCATCTTCTCGCGTCGCCGCAAGTCGGACGACACCGCCGTCACGCAAACCGCTCCAGACCTCAGCAAAGAACAAATTAAGCGCGCAACTCGCACGCGCAAAATATGGGCGCTGATCACATCCTTCTTCCTCTTCATCACACTCATCTTCCTGATCCTCGTCAATATCTCTGGTGTACGCAACAAGGCCGTTATCAAGGATTGGTACTTCATTCGACTCGACCTGAGCCACATCGTGCCTGCCAGCGTACCGAATTTCGCTCTTATCAACACTATCGCGCAAACGCTGGGACTGCATGACTTCTATCAAGTTGGGCTATGGGGTTTCTGCGAGGGATACGCGGGTGAGGGCGTGACTTTCTGCAGTGAGCCAAAGACGCTATACTGGTTCAACCCTGTGCAAATCCTGCGTAATGAGCTTCTTGCTGGGGCTTCGAGTAAGTTGCTTCACGTCCCGATTCTTAGATATCGTGCATCGGAAACAGAGTAACTAACATGCATGCCTACAGTCAACCTTCCCGCCGACATCAACGACATTCTCGACCTTATCCATCTCGTCTCCAACTGGATGTTCGGTCTCTTCCTCACCGCAACGGTCTTGTCTTTCGTCCTCATCTTCGTCATGCCCATCTCCATCTACACGCGCTGGCTTACCCTCGTCGTCGCAATCCTCGCCTTCCTCAACGCCCTCTTCGTAACCGTCGCCTCGGTCATCGCAACCGTCATGTTCATCATCTTCCGCAACACTATCGGTGGTGTGGCTGAACTGAACATATCTGCAGAGATAGGCACCACCCTCTTCGCCTTCATGTGGGTGGCAAGTGCCTTCGCCATCTTTGCATGGCTAGTACAGATGGGGCTTTGCTGCTGCTGCGCCTCAAGGAGAGATGTCAAGAAGGGCAAGAAGAGAGGAAACGAGAAGGCGTACCACATGGACGCTGCTGGCACAGAGGCAGGCGGCATCAGGGACACCAACATGGTCGCCGGCGAAGTGAATGAGAAGCCACAAAAGAAGAAGTACCAGTTCTGGAAGCGTGGTTAGGAACCTCTTCCATCAACTTCGAACCTCTTCGAGCACATTACACGCATAGACATCGACTCGGACATTGAAGTCCCAAATGCTAGTCCATGACACGCCTAGTGCTGGCTACGCAAAAAGAGAAATTTGGAATCTGTAACTTTCAGCGAGCGCGGCGTTGGTTTGGCATCTTTGGTACAGCTTAGCATAGTACAGCGCAGCGTTGGACTCTTGCATTCGACACGACATGACATTGATCACGGACATGTTCCTTCACCAATACATACAACCTAATGATATCGTTATTACAGCTAGAAGACTGATCATGCATTCCTGGATGGGTATCTTAATCGTGACCGTCCCATGACCTAACTCCAAAACTCGCAGCTTATCTGTGTTCAATTTGCTTTCCCCTGTGCAGCACCCTTGTTCATCTTCTCCAACGAGTCCATGTCGATGATTCTCAACTCTGTCCTCGCCCACAAGATGATCATGCATATTACGCCCGGCAAGAAGCCGCCTCCCACCATGAGCCCTTCACCCCAGCCACGCCCTTGCCAGACTTCATACAACGCCAATAGCCCACAAACGGCCCTGTTGATTGGCACAATAGAATCCGCTATCTTATCTGCTGCCTCTTCCGAGATGTACGGCACAGGCCGCCTTACACTTTTCTCAGTCGGCTGTTCCCACGACGGTGTCTTGTTGTAGATTCCATATCCACCTAAAGGTTTCTTGGCCTGTCCTTTCCCTTTCGATGGTTGTTGAAGTGTTGAGGGCGTGACGTCCACACCATCGATTGGCTCCATCTGCGTCGGCGGTAGTGGCAGAAAATATAACGTATACGCTGTTGCTAGCAGACTCGCGATAGAGACTAGACTGATCGGGAGGGTCGACAGGGCGAAGAGCCGCGGGATGTAAAGGAGCGTGGGGAGTAAAGGTAGCGCGAGGAGGAAGAGTGTATATGTGTGCGTCGTGGATGTGTCGTGTGTGCTGAGGGTTTGGAGGAGGGCTGCGCGGTCTGTGTAGTTCTGTCAGCAAGGCGGGGATTGGGCATGGAAGAGAGGGAAGGGTACCTTGTTCGTCCATACCCGCTTCTACGGTATCTTCATCGTCGGATTCGGACGGGTACTTGAACGTCTTGCGCAAGCGTTGCGCCGCTACTGTCTCGGCTTCCTTGAGTTTCTCCATCTTTTTCTGCGTCTTTTGCGCGAGTTGGTACGAGATTTGAAGGATTCGGGGGGCTGACTGTATGTTGTGGAGGGAACGATCAGACGAGATAATGTGTTAATAGAGGCCGGATGATTGAAAGGTGGCCTTTCGTGGCTACCTGCGCGCGTGCGGCAAGGCAACCGGGTTGTTGGACTGTTTGGGTCGGCGGAACGGATGACGACGTTTGTGGGGGAGATCTGGACCTGGACCCTGGAATTAGCGCGCTGGACCTGCATGCATCATCTTCCTCTCCATCACTCGACTTTGCAACCATGATAGTCACGTCTTCCATTCCTCTAATTACGTTATAGGAATCTTCGGCTAGGGTAACTTTCCATCCATCATGGGCGGCTCAACGTTTTGATATCTCTCGAGATCTTCTCCACCAATGCAATGCAGTCTCACGTGCCTCCGACGAGGCCTAGCTGGCGCCTGATTGAACCAGATATCGCGTTCCATAGGTATAGCAACGGCAATTGCGAAAACTCCAAGCCGTTTTTGGGACTGCAGCCTGGGGCTTCGCACAGAAGCTGAACTATAAATCGGTCTAATCTCTTGTCCTGGTGGGAGCTTTATCTTCTTCACCACCATCGCTGGGATTTTACTTATCTTCACAAAAGAATATCCATTGCTACTCCTACACAACGCGACTCGCTTGTCTCCCTCCAGCTGCTCTTAGCCCTAATACAAGCTTCTTTCGCAGAAATACCACCTCCTCAACCACCTCGAAGCACAACATGCCCCTGGAACTTCAACGCTTGCCGAGCACACGAGAGCTGAGACGCATCGCTTATCCGATCCATCTGGAAGACACCCTGAGTATGCTGAGCGACGCACCTAGCGACGAGAAATCCAGTTGCCATCTCACTCTTCGAGACGATGCCCTTGCCTCCAGGGGTCCTATCGTTGCGAGTATTCCACGGGATACGCTGTGTCCGTTCTTTGAGCTCCTTCCACGCGAGATCAGAGATGAGATCTATCGCTACGCACTCGGAAATCTCAGTGCTGCCTTTATGCACGGCAAGACTCAGGTAAGAGCAACGCATCATATTCATAAGGGACCTATTCTAGATACTTATAAAGAGCAAATCCCGTGGATGCGCACGGGCAAACAGATGTACCAGGAGGCTACCGAGATGTTTTATCATCTGGCTCGCTTTGACATGGACCTGGATATGCGCTACAAGTTTCCTCACGTCAAAGGCGTCACGCGACGGGTCAAGATACGCCACGCTCCCACACTTATCCGCGCGAGATTCCTTTCAGTAGTGAATCTAACGGTAGTAAATCTTCGCCAAATCGAAGGCTTGACCGAGACTCTGCACTTCGACACAGAAACCGAGCAGTGCAAAGCACTAGTTGATCTCTTCCCACGCATGGTTGCATTGCGGCAACTTGAGATCCAAATGGAACACAAAGTCCCGCCATGTGACGAATTCTGCGATACCGAGTACCGACCCTCACTCTCGTTCCTCAGAAGTCTACCTCGCGCGTCACTGGCAAGATTACGCGTCGAAATCCAGTGTGCTTATAAGACATTCGATCGCAACTCCATCGCTTGGGAGTATGCCGCGAATAACGTCGCCAGTAGGCTCTCTGATCCTCTCAAGAGAGAGGTCAAGAGGTGCGCACTGCATGCAGTCAGGGGAGACGATCATCAGTGGAAAGAGTGGAAGGAGGAGGCAATCCATAATGTGGTTCGATGGCGTCACCAATTCCTTACCCATCTCACGCTAGGTTTTGAGATTACTATGGCCCAATACAGGTGAGTACGAGGTCTGAACAGTACTTTGGTAGACATGCGACTGTCTTGTTATTGCTAATTGGAAGATTGCGAATCACATTCCGCAGAGAACCTCGTCCTATAGTACTGCGGTCATGGAAAGAGTCACGACTTCAGAAATTTATGTATTACACCTCTCCAATCAGGTCTTTCCGAGAAGGAGGTATCGCGAACACAAGAACCAATCCGTGGTAGCGTACTTTGAACATCTCCCGATGGTCTAAGCCTTGCTTTTGCACCGACGGTAAAGCGAACTTTCAAGAAGACAAAATGTCATCCCTGTGAATCTACTCGCCTCGGGTTCGTCCCGTCTCACTGCCCAATGTTGTGACTGTGCTCCAGATAATCAAGGTGAGACTGCCTGTCTTTGCGCTAGCTCCGTTTGCTCGTCCCCACCCAGGTCCTACAGCTTTTCGATCTTTGAACTTGCCGACCAACACGTCACTCCCAAACCAATCCACAATCATGGACGCCGATACCGTCATGAGACACCTGGGTGTCTTCGAGGACAAGTAAGCAAATCAAACGTTGTGGTTCTTCCCTTACTGATCTCCCAGGACAACCAAGAACCAGCGCGATTCACCTCTCCTTCGTCTCCCCGCCGAACTCCGCAACAAGGTCTACGACCTGGTACTCTTAAACACTCAAGTCTGCATGAGAATGCCGCGTCTATACGCTGATGCTCATAATCACCGAGGAAGTCTAGCACTATTGTCTACCTGCCGCCAGCTCCGCCATGAAACATCTTCAACTTTCCACACAATGGCCGTGTTCAAAGTCAGCACCTTTGTTCTAAAACAGTTGAGCGGAAGCTATCTCATTCACAACTCAGAACGTTGGAATTCAATCCAATCGATTCAGATGCGCGGTTACGAGGTGGAGCGATGGTGCAATTTCGCGGATATCTACCATTACGAGACTCCAAGGAATTTGGGTAGAAAAGGCATGTACATCGGCTTTCTTCCATCACTGAAGAATATTCTCGTAGTCTATCATGTTGATGATGACGACGATTGTTGGGGATACAGCTACCGTGCAATCGCCGACATTCTGAAGTTGCATTTTGGAAAGAGTAACCTTTGCGTCCGCATTCAGGCCGACTCTTAGGATAGCCTGTTTGAGTAGATGGCCTGGGATAGAGACGGTGCAGAGATACATGTCAGACGACCAATGAAAAGTTCATGATTAAACAAATGCGAAGACGCGTGCAGCAGAATTACAAGAACGCACAACTGCATCTCTACACTGACGCTGGTCACGGAAATCTCTATCAGGTGCTTGAGGCGTATGCGAAGCAGCTGGAGTTGTTTCTGGGATGATGTTTAATACCGGAAAGATGCTGAATATGAGGACAAGGTGGTCGGAAGTGAGGACTAGTGGCTTTTTCGTAACGATCCGATAGCGATAGCGTTCGGCATGGATGCTGTTCAGTTACTCATTAGCTCATAGAAATGCAGGTTGCCTTGATCATACAAAACATACTGACTGTTGCGGCAATCGATGATCACTTGCTATGTACACGATCGTCCAACTTTAGGCTAAAGCCGTAAGTAATAGCAACAAATGTAGTCCACTGCACACAAACACACATCGACTTTCTTTCTCCGAAGTCCCCAAATATGTTTTTTCGACTGTCGAAGATATAGACTAGGTGGGCAGAAGAGCGAGGTCGGAGCAGATCGAGTTCGGGCGAACCCAAATCGGTAGCAGCGTGCACTATGGCGAACAACGACCAACTGGACAACACTATTTCCATATTTTGCACGGCAAGGATGCCTCGCGATGTTAGAACCTCGATCCGACATCTCAAAAGATGCAAATAACTGACATCCTTCTCAGCTTCTTAACGAATTTTTCATTGAGGCGTTCGAGGCGCCTGAGCTGAAGGCGGTGGAGTGCACTCACATAGGTAAACGAAACCAGCATACTCTCGAGCAAAACGCATGCTAATTGATACCACTCAGCCATTCTCGTCGATACGACCGATATCACCAAACTCACATCACCCACACGCGCCCCAGTGTCGCAAAACCTCTCCTACCCGTTCCTGAACTGTGGACTGGACGATCTCGTTAAGTTCGCGTGGCAATTCGACGGCGCTGAACGGGGCATTGTAGGCACGTAATTCGTCATCATGGATGATCAGACACTTGAGGATAAGACAGTGGTACTCGTCACGCCATCTGAGGGCTACGACGGTGTAGAGACGGCGCCTAGACTAACTGCACGATCGGATTTTCGCTCTAGTACCAAACGCTGAACGTCAAAAGTATCGGAGTAGGCGGCGATGAACATTAGACTGTGTGACGGAACGAGTTCAGAGTAGGCCGGGCAAGGAATTATGAAACGGACGAATTCGATGCCTCAATTCAAGTTTCTTATTTCATTCTACAGCATTCTTCTCCCTCCACTCCCCAGCCGCCTCCTCATAAGTGCAGAACTCCACGTCTCCTTCCCACGCCTTCAGCCACTTAATCACCCTCTCAATCATGCCGATGACATGCGCCATGCCACTGGTATCCGGATGCAAGACCAACGGGAAAACCACTACATCTTTCTCTCCATCACCCTCAAGCATCTCGCTCCTAATCCACTCAAACTTGTCCTTCCACATGTTCTCCATAACGCGAACGTCGACGTAGCCGTGCGAGTTGGGTGCATTGGGAAGATACTGGAGCGGCGTCATGTCTTCTGTGTACCAATTTGCCGGGATTTCGACGAGGGTTTTGGTTGTGGGTGCACTGGGCTTGGGCAGGGGTTTCATCCAGTCTTTCGCAGAAGCCTCTTCGGTGTACTTTGGCGCTTTGATGGGTGGGAGGTTGGGGAGGTAGTACGGTTTGCTGTCGTGGTGGGAGAGTGAGGAGTCATAGAGGAAAGAGTACTCCTCTAGCAATTCCACGGTACTTTCGCGGAGTTGATAGAGCGGTGCGCGATAGCCCAGTGGTCGTTTTCCTAACAGTTCCTGGTAGAGACTTATACAGTGCTCGAGGACTTCGCGTTCTTGGGTGGGCGTGAGCTGAGGGGCGCCTTCGTGGCAATAACCGTGTAACCCTATCTCTGCGCCGCTGCTCTTGATGGCGGCAAACTCTTCTGGGAAAGATTCTGCACTATGCATCGGCACAAACCAGGTTACTTTGTTCGCAATGCCGTGCTTCGCGAAGAGCTTGAGGAGTCGTGGAACTCCGACGTGGCCACTGAAGAAGCCAGTACTGTAGTCCGCGAGGTTATTATCGGGGTGTTGGCCGGTACCAAGCCAGCCCGATACTGCGTCGAAATCCACAGAGAGCAGGATCTTGATCTTCGGCTTCTGTTTTGGTTGAGAGCTGCCAAGAGATGACATGGTTGGGATAGCCATTGCTGAGGGGGTCCTGCTAGCTAGAGAGACTCCTTCGGTTGCGGTACCAAATATCTCGGCCTCACCAGTTGCGTTGAGAGACGGCGTTTCGGGCTCGACAGCAGTTCCCTGTGATTTGCGAACTTCTTCCTCGGACCACACAATGCGACCTTCCATACCACCATCCACAGATATACATTGTCCGGAGATGTGACCTGCAGCGCGATGACTTGCCAGGAAAGCAGCTGCTCTCGCTACGTCAGTCGGTTGAGCGATTTTTCTGAGTGGGACACTGCAATTGTTAGCAAAATATCGGAGAGTCAGTATGAGCGTCAGACTCACGTAGCCTTCGCCTCCCTCCACATCTCCCCTGGGTCGTCCAACCTCCCTTCAATCAACTTGGTCTCCACCCATCCGGGCGCGACGGCATTGATCCTGGCGCTCTTATTCAGCCTAACAATCTCGTTCTTCACTGTCTTCACAAGACCGTATTGTAGCCCTGCTTTCCCACTTGCATACTCCACATGACCTGCCTGACCAAAGACTCCACATTCGGACCCCGTCACAACGACACTGACATTTTGAACTTCCTTGCCAGTATCAATTTGCGACTTCTCAATGGATTTGAGAAAGTGCTTTATGGTTAGGTACGTGCCACGCACGTTGACAGCGTAGGTGCGGTCCCAGAGCTCGCTGGGCATATCCCAGATAGGATAGCTGGAAGATTCATCTGTGATACCTGCGTTGGCGCAGAGAACGCTGATAGGCTGCGAGAAATAGTTGATAGCTCGGGATATGGAATCCTGGATGGAGGCTTCGGAACTGATGTCGCCTTGGAGGCAGTGGAGGTTGGGGTTTGTTGGGGCGAGAGGATTGGGACGAAGATCGTGTGCAGTGACTTTGCAGCCTTGTGCTATGCAGGCGTTAGTGACGGTTGCATGAAAGCAAAAATATCAATTGAGATGATAGCGTTGATTCCTTATTTTGTAGGCCGAAGCCCTAAAGCGTGCCTTCCACAGCAGGGTGACTTGACAGAGACCCCGAGCCTACCATGGAACCTGCAGACTTCACTCAATGTGTAAAGACTCTCCGACAACCATCAAAGGCACAAGACCATGACATACCTAGAAACTCATCTACAATCGCACTACCAATTCCTCCGGCAGCCCCAGTAACGAACACATGCAACCCCCCAAGTTCGAGAAACGACATGATGCACCTTGACGACGCCTTCACTGCTTCTGCGGCCAGGCGGTCAAGTTCAGAGTGTTACTCTATCAACTCAGCTCCACAAGATGCGCGCCCGCATACGTAATGTAGCAACAGCCGACCCGGCACCCACGATAAGCCCTACGTTATCACCTTGAGGAGCTTCCGAAGAGGGCAACGGCTAGCACTTGTCGCATACTGTTATTTCTCCGCGCGCAATCGAGGTGGAAGTGTATACGTAATCCTGAGTGCAGATGGCGATAGCGAGGCTCAGTTGAGCATGTGGAGGGGACATCGACCCCTCTTCCGCATACCCCAGAGGGAGGGAGCTGGAGCTAGAATACGCGAAGAACAATTGTACCGCTTCTACGAACTAGCCTGATTCATCAGGCGCTTTGGGTATGAGGTGTCTGCGCCTACGGCCAAATCTCAACAAAAGTAAGACGAGTCCCACGCGCAAGGGCTCGAAGGGCACATCGCGACTCCGTACTTGTTTACTAAGAACGCCACTGTGCCCTTCCGCCCCGCCGGCCCACCCTGACGGACCGCCAAACTGCCCAACGTGGTAATTTTGACAAAAACCGTTGATTTCAGATGGCCGAAGGGCACACTGCTAGAGCTTAGGTGACCAATGAATTGGGTCGGTGATCTGCGGGATACGGGTGCTTGCAGAGGGGCACAAAGGCGCGCGCCAATTGGGAAGAAGGGTGTGTAGGAGATGTTAGTTGGTCGTGCAGAGGGCGAGGGCACGGGTCGGCGATGATGAAGATGGTCGCATACGTGCTCTGAGCTGAATGGGCGATACGTTTGTAGTAATGTTCATTGGTTTCGGCCACTGCATATTGCAAGCGGAGAGTTTCCTTCCCTAGATGATGTAACATGGGCTATTGTGCGCACTTTGCTCCCCATCTTAACTTTTGCTGGTATCATAACGCCGTGGCTCATGGTTGAATTACAAGGTGATGTCCTCGGTGCGGTAGTGGTCTGCTACGATGCGGTAGAGATATGAAGGTGCGTGTCCGCCACTAGAAGACATTAGCTTGCATTCAAGGCATCGAGCTGTTCAAATCGCGACTTACAGGTTGGTGATGTAGAGATCCACAAGGTCTGCGGGAACATAGTCGTACAGTGGGTTCTCAACATCGACCTTGTCGACGAACTCGCCGTCGTCGTAGGGAACTACACTTCCGGCGTCACCGTGCTCGATCAGCTCGTCGATGTCGAATGGGTAGACCGGGCTAAGCTTATATACACCACTAAGCACGACAACAGGTGTCTGGTGCTCCTTTGCGGCCTTTGCAATCATGTGTGCTCCAGCTGCGGCTACCAGGCCACCGTTGGCTAATACGGTATGGGTCGCCAGAATGACCTTGTTGACACGGGACATTATGGCGAAGACATGGGAGTCGGGGATGACGTAGACTTGGATGCCAGCATCGGTAAGGGGCTTCCATTTGTCGTCGTCCTCGTCGTCATCCGGATTCGCCTCTCGCTTCTTGCCTGTAAGAAGGATGCCATGCGTGGCAGTGTGGTCGTGGGGATACGTCTCGGCGTGTACGACGGT